CTTAAAAGCCGCACCCCAGGGTGGGAAGGAGGAATCCAGGACTGGCCGGGGGAGGTGGCGGCTCAAGTCCCAGCAGGTTCCCGCAGTGCGGCGCAGTCCAGCCCCAGCTCCTTCCATCATGTCACTTTTCCTAAGCACCAAGATTTCTTTTCTGCTCTGTATTTCTGGCAAGAAACCTTTGCATTTAGATAAGGAATAAAGCCTGGAATCAGATCTGAACTCTGCAGCAGAGATCAACATTTTAATGAATTAAATATATTCCAAACTAAATGTAACCTCTTAGCGCTCACATTTTCGAGTGAGTCTAACTTAAAGAAAAAGCCAACAATCCAACTCGTTCCAGCTCTCCCCGGCTGCGAACTGGCCACAGGCCAATCAATTATCTCGAATTTATTCGTTATTCAACTTCCCTCCAACAGCCAATTTCCAGGCTGTGAATTGCAGGTGAGCGGCTCCTGCGGGCCGCGGCTGCGCTCGCATTTCCAGACCAGTTCGGAGGCACTGGTTTCACTGGTTTCACTGGTTTCACTGGTTTCACTGGTTTCACTGGGCTGCCCGGGGCCACCAGCGAGGCAGGACACTCGGGCTGGCACATTCGGCCTCACACAGCCCCGGGGGGACTGGAGGGACAGCGGCTGGTTGACATCCGAGTTTAGAGATGCAAACGGAGCCGGAGCATCCCCCGAGGGCCGCGCAGCGCTGCCAGGCCTGGGAAGAGACTTTTAATTCCTCGCTGTTAATTCCTGGCTGCGCAGGGAGGGCAGAGCTGCCCCAGCATCGCACGGTCGGTAGATGCTGCAGATGATGCTGCAGATGCTGCAGATGCTGCAGATGCTGCAGATGCTGCAGCTGCAGGGTGCCCGGAGGTGTTTGCTGGGCTGGGAAGGGCAATTTTGGGGATGGGGAGGGCAGGGATGAGACCTCGGCTGTGCTGCCCCAAGGCTCAGCCAGCCCCACTTCCAGAACCTGGAATTTTGGGGGCAGGTGAGGGAAGGAGCAGCAGAGGAAGCACAGCTGGGGCCTCCCTGCAGCCCCCACCACGCTCAGGGCTTGGGGACCCCCAGGGCTCTCAGTGACACCTCACCTCACTGTTTCCCACTCCAACAGGAGCTTCTCCCCTGTCCCCAGCCTGCCCAGCATCCTGGAGCGAGCTCCAAACCCATCAAGCTGGAAGAAGTCCCCTTGCCCATCCAAAGCTTTCTCCTCCCCTAACATTGTTTTCGTTTCCCCCTCCCCCCCGTTTTTTATTCTCAATAAAAACATAATTACAGGCTTTTAAAAAAAGCAAATTATAGTGACATACTTTAATTATCTCCAAGCAATGGAGGACTAAATTACACAGTCAGGGAATCGGAGGTTACCTAAAAATAAAAGCAAGAAGCTTCATTAAATGCTAATTGCAGCTTTCACCACTGAAGTGAGATTTCAACACAGACCACCATTGACTCACTGGGCCCTACGAGAGAACACTGGGGCAGGGGAGAAACCCTTGGACACACAGTTCATGCCTCCATCCGTGGCTCCAGCCACAGGGATTGCTCCAAAGGGAGCTCCAAAGGCTCCACTGCTGCTGGACCTTCCCCAGCCACAGGGCTGGGTGCTGCCACCTCCCTCCAGGACACCCACTGTCCCCTGGAGCCACCTCAGGGACACTGCCCACCCTCCCTGCAGCACTGAGGGGCTCATCACAGCCCCTGCAGTGCTTTGGAGCAGAGAAACGAGCTCCAGTTTTTCCCAGAGCTGCTCCTGCAGCAGGGATGGAACCACAGCAGCCACCTCAGCTTCGCTGCCCCCTGCTCTGAGCCCGAGTCCCACCTTGCTCTGAGCACCCCTCGGCTCTCCTGGGCTGAAAATGGGTCCCTGGGGTCTCCTGGGATGGAAATGGGTCCCTGGGGTCTCCCTGTGGGAGAGGAGCTGACTGGAGCCCTGCCCTCCTGTCCTGCCCAAACTGAGCTCTGCTCCAGCCCTGCTCTTCCCATCCCCTTCCTCCAAATTTCCTCCCCAAGGAGGATCAGGAGATCTCCGAGCCCACAGGGGCTGATTTCCCCCAAGACACAGGAAGGGAGGCACGAGGTGGCAGGCAGGCTGGAAAATTCGCAGGGAAATTATCTTGTTTTTCCATTTCCCATCGAGTTGGCCTAATTATGCCACCGAAGTCTGTAATTTGCCTCTCACAGAAGAGAGTTAATGACTGGTTCCAGGCTGCTGCTGCTCCAGGCGGGGACACAGCTCCCACTCCAGCCCCCAGCTGTGCCCTGGGACCCTGAAAGTTCCTGCTTGTCCCTGGAGAAAGGAGCTGAGGAGAAGAGCTGGTGATGGGCAGCAGCAGCCAAGGACAGCAGAAAGTTCCAGGAGGCAGGAAGATACCAGCAGGGCATGAAGGAAGCTGGCACCAGCCCAGGATTTTTCCCCACCACTTCTCAAAGTCCCAGAAAAAGTGAAAAATCTGCAGGTCAAGCACTGAGGGAACTCAGGCAATTATCATTGTTTAAATTCAACAGCCCTTCACAGAAATAAGAGGAAAATCAGACAAGTGCTTTTAAAGCTCTAAGGGAGGCGAGGATGGCAAAGATTCACAGATACCTCATTAAAAAAAAATAAAAAATACACAAAATACTGAAATCTAAGAGTCTGATACCCAGGAATCAGTATCCACTCTGCTCTTCTCCCCAGCCACAGGCAGAGCTACCCTCAAAAATGCTAAGCAAAGCAGAAAAGCAGAATCTGGATCCTCATAAAGTCCCTGTGCAACATCCAGAGCAGAGCCTGGCTGGATCCCCATCCACCTCCGTGGCTCACAGGCTTTGCTCCCTTTTAATTAGCTCCCATCATCAAAGAGGTGGCTGGAATTAAACAGCACTGGAGCATGAGGGGCTGGATAAAACCCACCAGCCGTGCTGGGAGGTCGCTGCTCCCACCACTGGAGTGGGTGGGGAGGGACAGGGCTCCTCCAGCAGCTCAGGGTTGGGGTGACAAAAATGGGGCATTTCTGCAGGGCTTGGAACACCCCCTCACAGGCACGGCGAGGGGAGAAAGGTGGAGGCTGTAATGAAGTCAGAATCAGCTTTTCCAGTCATTATCAGGCAGAATTCAGGGTGAAAAAGCTGCTCGTGACACCATGAGAGCAGAATCCCCGAGCCAGGAGCTGCACCAGAGACATCAGCTGGGGATTCCTCAGGGCCCTCTGAACCAGGCAGGGCCTCACATCCCATCCGACAGTGATGGATGCGCTGGGAATGGAGCAGTTTCTTCTCCTGAGAAGCTCTTTTGACAAGGATGATCTTATCAAAGCTTCCAGCTTTTCATTATGCTGTTTTTTTCCCCCCTTTTTGAACTCCTGCCTTCAAGCCAGGCTCTGTCCTCTGTGCACAGGCAGCGAGCAGCTGCAATTCCCTCTGGCACCAATTCCTGGCTCTGGGAATGCAGAGCTTCCCTCTGGCTGCCCTGGGACCCTGGCAGGGGTCAGGAACCCCCTGGACAGAGCCCCCAGAGACACTGGCTGTGATCTCTGGCCATGGAAATCAGTAATAATTAAGTGTGGCACGGGTGCAAAAGTAAAATTTTAGGATTCTAGATGAGGGGTCCAAAGGGGACAAGAGGGAGGAAATTGGGTGTGCCTTGTCCTTTTTCTCCTCCTTCATGCCCTCCATGTCTCACTGTGGTGTTGGCATTTTTCTGTTGGTTCAGGCTGGGGACACACTGTCCAACGTAGGTGACAGATATTGGCACGTTCTTGTAAATGCAGCCCAGGGAGTTTCTGGTATTTAATGTTTGTCACATCCCACTGAGGGCAGAGCCCCACACGCTACCCTGCAGGACAGAGCTGGGCAGGGCAGCAGAACATGTGAGAGATAAACAGAATAAACAACCTGGAAACCAGCACAGACCAATTATGGCTTCTGCTTTGGCAGCGGGGCTGACAGACAGAGACTTTCCACAATTTGGGATCATCAATAGCTCAGATTCTGACACCTGGCTGCCGTGGGGCTGAGGGCATCCAGGTGCCCCCCACACACCCCAGGGGGAGAGCAGAGCTGTGATCAACACACAAACAGCTCTGGGAATGTGCAAAACGCAGGGGTGACACCACACAGGCTGCGAGAGGGGAAATAGCAGCACTTTGGGGTTGGGGAACAGGCAAAAAGGGACAGGGAGACACCCCAGCACCGCCTCCCAGGCCAGGTCACCACCAGCTCCAGCATTTTATTGGGCTTTTTATTGAAACACAGCTTGTCCAGAAGCTGGAGGCACTCAGCACTTCTCTACTTCCTTTCCCCAGTTCCCAAAAAAGAGCCAAGTTTGGACCCTCCTCTCCTGATCCAGCAGCCAAAAAGCACAGCCAGCCCCAATCCAAGAGGGAAACACTTGGAGCCAGAGACAGAAACAACAGCAGCCAACGCACCAAAATGCCCCAGAAAGGCACAGCCCAGGCTCTGGGCACAGCCACATCCCAAAACCCACGGCCGTGCCATCCCAAGGACAGGCTGGAGCCTGGAGGAGGAGCCCTCCCCACCAGGCAGAGCTGCTTTTGTTGCTCTTTGTTAACCCAGGATCCTTTAGGTTGGAAAAGCCCTCTGAGATCCTCCAGTCCACCCCTTAACCCAGCAATGCCACCGTGTCCCCAGGTGCCAGAGCTGCTGATTTTTTGAACAGATCCCTGCAGGGATGGGGACTCCAGCGCTTCCCCGGCAGCCTGGGGGTGTGGGAAGCCCTGGGAAATCTCATTCCCTCCCCTCCATCCCCTCAGCCTCTGCCCACAGCTCGGGGAAGAGAAAAAAAGGAGGAATCAGCCCTTTCCACCCCAAAGCTGCCCCAGTGCCCCATGCCAGGGACGTGCCAAGCTCCCCTCTCCCCGTGCCATCCCCTCTCCCAGGCTGCAGCTGCCTGGAATCTCCAGCCTGCAGAGGAAGGACAGCAAGCCCTGAGCTCTCCCAGGAGGTCTGGCCACCCAAAACCTTCCCCGGCACATCTAAAACCAAGTCACCAAGAGACAGCAAACGCCGAGTGCAAAACCAGGGTCTTTTATTAGAAATCTCCTCGTATAAAAATGATCATGCTCTACACAGTCATCGAATAATTCATAAACATCCAGGCACTGAACTTTGTTTTTTTTTTTTGTGTGTGTTTTTGTTTTTTGACTGGTCAGTACATAAAGCAGACATATTTCAATCCATATGGTCATCACATACATTAAGGAACCACCTATAGAAATCAGCACTTTGAACACAGTCTAGGTTTTATTTTATTTTATTTTGCTGTCTGTTTTTTTTTTAAATGTAAATTTTAAGTATTTTTATTTATTTTTCCTTTTTGCAACATATAGAATTTGGTAGGATATGGGGTAGAGAGTGAAGAGGGACGGAGGAAGACAGGAACAAAAGAAAATGGAGGATTAAAAAAAAATTAAAAGAGAAAACAGAAGGTTCTGCACAACCACAAACAACCTCACAAACCCCAGAAAAAGGAAAATGTTTGGACTCTTATATTTTTACCTTTTTTTTTTTTTTTTTGCCAAAATACAGGGGAAAAAAAAACCAAAACAAAGACTTGGTGAAGTCCGTGCCCTCTCGCCCGTGCTCCGTCCCCGCGCTGCGCCGTCCCTCCGTGGGAGCCATGCACCGCCACCGTGGGCGCTGGAAGAGTTTTAGTGTTTCTTTATGGATTTTTTTTTTTTTTTTTTTGCTGCTGTTGATGGCGTTTTCCCCCAGGATTCTGCCCTGGGGCGTGTCCCTCCTGCTCCCTGCTGCTGGGGCTAAATGGCGTGGTTGCTGTAGCTGACGTAGGTCTGCTTGGTGGCCAGCGCTGGAAGGAGACACAGAGCTCAGGTGGGTCCCAGCACAGGTCTCCTGCCTCCTGCCCCATCCCCCTGACCCGCCCATGGTGCCAGCAGGGACGTGGCAGGGATTGCTCAGGGCACTGCTGGCATGTGGGGTGCTGCCCTGAGCCCCACAGCAGCTGTGGGTGCTCCTGAAGGACGCAAAGAGAGTCCCACGAGCAGTGGGGATGTGGCCTCAAGGATCCCGTCCACTCCCCTCAGCAACATCCTACACGCAGAGCCAGAGGTGCTGCACCTTCCCAAAGCTCAGCCTGTCCCAGCCAGGGACAAATCCTGGGGTTCCAGGGGGTTTTGGGATCCCAGCTTGGTGTCCCACACTCCTGGCCACCATTCCATAGCAGCAGGGCACAAAATCAACCACCCTGGCTGTCCCCTCATCCAGCGGGTGCCACAGGGGACACAGCCCTGCTGCCACCCCCAGCTGCCCCTGCCCTCAGACACACCAGGAGAGGAGGCAGCGGTGGCTCCAAAGCCACCACACGTCCCAGGGTGGCACTGGGGGGGCACAGCAAAAGCCACAGAGCAATGAAGCCTCCCTCTCCCTGCTGTGCCACCGCCCTCGGTGGGGACAACGCTCTGCCGAGACCCCCACGAGCTCCCCGGTGCCAGGGGGTCAGCGGGCACAGGGACACGCTGCAGCCAAGGGCACGGGCAGCTGCTGGCACAGATGGCACAGCCCGGGACACCCTGAGCAGCACAAAGCTGTCCCCACAGGCAGGGGACACCAGCAGCTGGCAGAACCTTGCTGCAGGTTTCCAACTGGTGTTCCCAGATAACAATCAGATAGAGCAGAAGGGATTGGAGCTGACAGAGCTATTTGTTAGCCGCGGTGTTTTCCTAGCTGATCTGCCCATATCAAAGCCCTGTGAATTATTTATTCCGTTGTTTATTTAAGGATACGTGACCCGGCGGTGACAGAGTGAAAAATGTCCCCTCGGTGCTGCGCTGACGTCCCCCAGCGCTGCCACCCTGCCTGTCCCCTCCTGGGCACCGCGGGAGCTGCCAGCCCTGCTCACTGTGACTCCCGGCGTGTTGCATTGTGTTGGAACTCAAAATTTTTAGAGGTTCCAAGCCCTGGTCAGAAGCATTTGAGACCCTGGCAGACAGCTGGAAACAGCTGTGATTTTGGGTTTGAGCCATGGAATGAGTTACCAACTTTGGAGGTGGAACAAGAAGTCACAAAAGTTTAGATATTAGAGTAGAAGTAGTCACAAAGTAGAGGGAAGAATTTTTGAGTGCTGTACAGGGGGGGTTTGGTTTTGTACATGGGGGTCAGAGGGTTTAAGATGGATTTGGGATCTGGGCCTGCCCTGTCCTCCCTCTTTCTCCTTCCTTCCCTCCATGTTCTTGGTGATATTGGCACTTATGGATTGGTTTAGAATAGAAAAGCACCATTTAATATAGGTAATGGGCATTGGGGAAAACTGTACCCATGTCACACGTAATGTACCATATAAAAGATAGAAAAGCACCATTTAATATAGGTAATAGGCATTGGGGTAAAACTGTAACCATGTCACACGTAATGTACCATATAAAAGACAGCAGCAGCCCTGGGTGGGAGAGAAGAAGCAGTCGGGGTCAGAGAGGATGTCAGGGTGTGTGTGTGCCTCTGCCTGAGCTGTGAGCAAACCACAGCAGCCCCAGGAGAAAATCTTTTCGATAACTCACAATAAACTGCCTTGAGACCAACAACAGAGACTGCTGAGCCTTTCTTGGGAAGCTCGGGCTGGAGGAGAGACTTTTCCACCACATGGAGCCCCTGAACCAGGCCGGGGTTCCGACAGCACTGCACCTTGGACATGCCTTTCCCCATTCCCCAGGACCCCCTGACTCTGGTCAGATAACCCTGGACCCCTCCTTCCTACCCTGACAGGGCTGGTGGAGAGCCAAGGAGCCCTCCCTGTCCAAAAGCCCTACGAGGAACGTTTGAGGGAGTTGGGGTTGTTCAGCCTGGGGAAGAGGAGGCTCAGAGGTGACCTCATTGCTCTCTACAGCTCCTGAAGGGAGGTTTAGACAGGTGGGGTCAGTCTCTTCCACCGGGCAGCACTGACAGAACAGGAGGACACAGCCTCAGCTACATCAGGGAAGGTACAGGTTGGATATTAGGAAAAAATAATAAAATGCTGGAATTTTTTCCTAGGGAGGTGGTGGAATCACCATCTCTGGATATGTTTAAAAAAAGACTGGACTTGGCACTTGGTGCTATGGTCTGGTTGTGGTGTTGGGGCATAGGTTGGACTTGATGATATTAGAGGTCTCTTCAACCTCATTATTCTGGGATTGTGTGACTCCTGCTGGAGTCAGGGATGTGCAGCTGAGCTCAGCCCTCCCCGTTCCCATGCATGACCCCAGAGGATCATGCGGGAGCCACCTCACCTTGCGTTTCCAGGTTCTCGCAGAGCTCCGACTTGGCCTCTCCATTGGGGCGGAACCCTCCCTTCTGGGAGAACTTGTTGGACATGGTGGCCGCTGTCACCACCGCCTTGAGGCTCCGCTTGCGCTTGGGGACGTTCTGCTCCGGGTGGAAGAGGATGATGTACACCTTGGGCATGTAGAGCATGCCCAGGGACACCGAGGCACTCAGACTCACCGAGATGGTGAGCGTCGTGGTCTGGATGTACATCTGCAAGACACAAGGCCACCAGCTGAGAGCCCAAGCCCCTGTGGGATCCAAAAGGGAAAGGAGGAAACGGGGGAAAGATGGTGTGGGACTCAGATTCAGTCAAAAGAAGAAACGGAGAGTTTCTAGCCAGGCAAAAAGCCTAGGAAAGTGCTAAGAAAGAATGTAAATAATTCTTTATCTCTCTTGTTTTTCACATTGTTTATAGTTAAGTTCTATCACTGTGCGTCAAGCACTCTGCACCAATGCTGTGGGTTATTTTCACTTCAGAACCAATGGATTTGGTCCTCACAGAGCTCTGTATAAAAGAGTGGGGTATTTTGAATAAAGAGGGGTTTTACTCTCACAGCCTTCTGAATCAGAGTTCTCTTCATTCCCGTCCTGCCTCAACAACAACAAGCTGGGGTTGAAGGAAAGGAGCTGGGGTTGAAGGAAAGGAGCTGGGGTTGGAGGAAAGGAGCTGGGGTTGGAGGAAAGGAGCTGGGGTTGGAGGAAAGGAGCTGGGGTTGGAGGAAAGGAGCTGGGGTTGGAGGAAGGGAGCTGGGTTCAATGAAAGGAGCAGGGAGGCAGCGCTGCGATGTTGGCAGCGCTGGGTGGTCAAGGTGGGTTTTGATGCTCCACCAGCCTCAGGGCAGGAGCTGCAAGGCTGGTGCTGGGCACAGCAAGGGCACCTGATGCCAGGGCACACCCCACTGCCCCTCTCCCTTCAACAGGTAATTCCCATTCCCCAGCTGACTCCCCGGGCTCTTGTCATGTAAGTCACATATTACACACCGACGCTGCCTTTTTGCAGTCAAAACTAATTTCACGCTCACTGTCCAGGACTAACAGTGACAGATGTTTTCCAAAATGAAAGCCCATTAATCTGACTGTAGAATAATCCATTTTTCTACGGAGAGCAGTTGGCAGGCTCCTCTCAAGCCGGGGCATCTGAAGCAGGTGGCAACTGGAAGCAGAGACCCCCTCCTCCTGCCCATCCCACCTCTCGGGGAGGCCAGGAGGACAAGTCCCTGCTCCATGGGCATCCCTGCTCTGCCAGCATCTGGCTCCTTCCTCTCCAGCATCCCCTTCTCCACCAGGCAGTTCTGAGGCTCTGGGTCTCCAGATGCCTTTGCACACACCTGCGTGCAGGTCACCCACGAGGCAATTCCTGAACTTCACCTGATTCCATGTGCAGGGGTTCCCCTGCAGGTGGTTCACAGGTGGGATCTCACACCCTCTGAGGAGGCAGCACCTGGAGGAGCCAGGGAAGCCTGGGGGCTGCAGCTGCAGGCAGAGCAGGGGTCCCCATGTGCCCAGGGCACACATTTCACCTGAGGGTTTCTGAAGTGAAAAGGTGCTGGAGAGCACACGTGAGACAGAGACTCTGCACAGCTCCTGAAAGTGAGAGCTGGTGGGACACAGCTGCTCCAGGAACCCTCCAGGTCCCACCTGTGACCCCACAAACCCGAACAGCACCTGGCCCAGAGCCTTCCAGCTCAGCCCCAGAGGGAAAATGCCACCAAGCTGGTTCTGAGTCAACTGAAAAACTTTGGTTTGTCCCCAGAATAAAACCTCCTGCTGTCACACGCGCCGGGTTGTTTGTTCCACCTTCTCTCTCTAGGCAGTTTTTGGAAATAAAAATGTCATTTCATCAAGTAAAGTCAAAACACATCTCCGTGCCAGAATATGTACGGGGTTTTTATTACTTCCTTTTTTTTTTTAACCCACTCCAACTCTCCAAACTCTGCCACGGGTGTCCTGGACTGGCCAGGAATGAGGGAAACATTGAGACCCCAACTCCAGGCACCCCAAGGTGAGCTGAACTGAGGTGAGCTGAGGTGAGCTGAGGTGAGCCGAGCCGAGCCGAGCTCAGACATCTCCATGCGTGCTCCCCCCTCGCTCCTGGGCCAGTTCTCCCAGTGCTGCTGGGCACCCCCCTGTGCTGAGACCCCGCTGGCCCCAGCCCCATCTCCCCACCCCGTCTCTGCCTCCTGCAGCACTTTTGGGGTCTCACAGGGCCACTGTGGCAATTTCCCCCCACCAGGCGTTTGCAGGAAGCGTTTTCCTGCCCGCTCCAGCCTCCGCAGCCGCAGCCAGCCCCTCAGCAGCTCTGACAGGAATATTTTTAGCCTGGAGCCTCCGCACAGCCGCGCAGCTCTGCTCAGTTAACCTTTTGCCACTGCAAAAAAAATGACCATTTCTCACAGTTTCACTTCCCACTCTCTTAATTGGCTTCCAGCCCAGGACCCCGCTTTGCCCCTCCGCTAACGACGCCGGAGCTGCCTGCGGAGCCCTGGGAGGTGTGAGCTGCGCTCATTGAGCAACTTCCAGCTCAAAGTGGGCTGCATCAAAGAGCACAGGCAGCCCTGGCTCCGGGCGATGGTGCTGAGGGACAGCATAACCCAAAATGACCCCACAGCAGCCCCCAGACCCCGCGCTGTGCTCAGCTCAGTCCTGCCCCAGGGAGCAGCCCGGGCTCGAGGCACAGCCCAGGCTCGTGCCTGTCCCACAGCAAATCTCTGCATTAATGGGAATTTCAAATAAATCCACGCCTGGCCCCACTACGAGGGGTTTTGCACCCTGGTGGGTGCTGGGGAAGGGCAAACCTGCTCAGCACTCCGAGCACCACAGGACAGTCCCTCTCACTCCTTCCCTTCTCGCTTTTCCCTGGCTAGAAGCGAATGTGATAAACAGGGAAGCAGACAATGACTCCACTGTTCCGCCGCCACCTTATCAGCGCAGGAAATTGTCTCTTTTTCAGATGCTCTGTTATTCTATTTCTGTAATCCGCCGGGATCGGCGGGGATGAGAGGTTCTTTTCACAAAAGGCTTGGGGGACTTGTTACAGTAACGTGCCACCTCCATGCAAAGCTGTGGGCACGAGGCAAAGCAAATAGAAGTAAAACTGGGGATTGTAATCCAACTCCTCCACACCGCGAGGAAGCAGCCCTGCAGCCTCAGCTGGGCTCGGGGCAGGAGTGCCAGGGGGTCACGGGTGCGGGTTTGCCCCGTGGCATCCTCAGAACTTCAGCCACGAGGGAACAGCCCAGACAGTCCTGGAGTTCCCAAGGGTGCAGACACTCCACGGAGCCCAGGAGCCCGTCAGTCCCAGCACAGTGGGGTGTGAAGGGGATGGGATCCCTGCCCACGGTGAGCTGGGGGTGCCCATGTGGGCGATGCCAATGCCAGTGCCCCCAGCTGTCCCCAAGGACACGCTCAGAGCCACCCCCTCCGTGCAGGCTGTGCAACAGCTCCTTTCCCACCTTCTTCTCCCCAGGAGTGCAACTAAAGCACCGAGGGAGCCCAAATCACCTGCTGCTCCCTCCAGCCTCACTTCAGCACGTCCATCATCCCTCCGCTGTGGCCCAGGGACACTCCAAGCTCATTCCCACAGCCTGGAGACACTCCAAGCTCATCCCCACAAGGGCAGAGCAGAACTCCAAGCTGGCATCCCAAAGCCCCTCGAGGGCTGGCTCAGCAGGCTGGAGGCAGGGCCGGGCTGTGAGACAGAGCTCCGCGTCCGAGGGGAGTTGGGAACATCACTTTTTCCGCCTCTAATCAGCTTGTTAGCAGCCTAATAACAGAGCAGGCCTGTGCATTACAACCCCCAACGAGAGGCACAGCCTATTGTGGAGCTGCTGCCTGACAGGCAGCGTTCAGCAGCCCTAAATTATCCCGTGACAAGCTGCAGTGAAGAGGTGAGCAACCTTGCGCATAATCTACAATCATTATCATTTCCATCTTTATTACCCACAGTATGCCAAGCACATTAAGGAGGCTTTCAGGGAGCTTTTGTTTTGCAATAATTTCTTTAAAAACCTGCTTTCTTGTTAGTATCTCCCCTGCCATCTCATCAAAATGGAAATGCTGCAAAAGGCTCCATTTATTTCCCCTAATTCTCCTTCACACTTCCAGCCAGAGAAGGCCTGGTGGGACCTTCTGGTTGAGCCAAGGTCAGAAGTGGCTGGGCAGACTCGGCCTCCTCGAGGGATGGATGCTCTGAGAAGAGATGCTCCAGGACACAACAAACCCAGGTGACCACAGCAAAACCTCCCTCAGCAAACCTTTGCAACAGGCGTGTCCTAAAGCCACGGTGTCAGCAGCAGGGGGACACACTCGGGGGATCAGAGAGGGATCCGGGTGCTGGGACACCCCAGGGATTTCCAGGGAACAGCAGCTCCAAGGTTTGTTCATCAGAGCAGCGCCGGGCTGGCAGGCAGGAGATGTTTGCGTTTGACAGAAACACGATGATTCCTGTTTTGGCTGGCAGGCAAAGGGATTTGGGTCTCATTCATGAGATTTTTATTCTTTGTTCTTAATCCCTCGCACTTGAGCACGGAGCCTCATCCAGGCTGGCCTCGGTCCCATGGGAACTCAGCACTGGGAACAGGGGCCAGCTGGGCAGCACCGGGTCCCTTTCCGTGCAGAAATTGTGCCCACGACAGCCAGGACCTGCCCCAGGGGCTCTTCCTCCCCCAGCCCACACAGCAGCAGCCGTGCTGCCCACTGCCCCCACCCACGAGGGGCAGCGGGGCCAACGGAGCACGGAGAACTTCCCACCCTAATTCCCAAGCTGGCCAAGCTGCAGGGAAGGTCTCCTCTTGCTCAAGACACCACAGCCTCTCCCAGCCCCGCAAACCGACACCAGCTGGGCCTCTTCCCTCCTCCCTTACCTTTTCCGCCGACTGCGACGTCCCAAAAAATATCGGGATGAAGGCTAACCACACAATGCAAGTCGTGTACATGGTGAACCCAATGGGCTTGGCTTCGTTAAAGGTCTCCGGGACCCCGCGGGTCTTAATGGCGTACACAGTGCAGGTGACCATGAGGAGCATGCTGTACCCGAGCAAACAGATGAGGGACAGGTCCGAAATGTCACATTTGAGGATGCCCCGGGCAAAGTGGGGGTTTGTAGTCCGCTGGTCCTCGTAGTCAATGACAGAGTGGGACGGGTCCACGATGAACCAGATGCAGACGCCGACGAGCTGCAGGGAGATGAGGCTGAAGGTGATGACCAGCTGCGACGCGGGGCTGATGAAGCGCGGGGCGCTCACCGACTTCTTGCCCTGCTCGAAGATGCGGTAGATGCGGTTGGTCTTGGTGAGCAGCGCGGCGTAGCTGATGCTCATGCCCAGCCCCAGGAAGATGCGCCGCAGGGAGCAGGTGCTGAGGTCGGGCTCGGCGATCATCAGGAAGGTGGTGGCGTAGCAGAGGAAGATGCCCGTGAGCAGCACGTAGCTGAGCTCCCGCCCCGACGCCTTGACGATGGGCGTGTCGTTGTAGCGCACGAAGGTGATCACCACGAACAGGGTGGCGATGATGCCCACGATGGCGATGAACACGGGCACCACGGCCCAGGGCGAGCTCCACTCCAGCTTGATGATGGGGATGGGCGTGCAGCTGGTGTGGTTCTCGTTGGGCCGCTCGTTGAAGTGGCAGCGCTTGCAGTGGAACTCGTCCAGCTGGTACTGGTAGCCGTCGCAGCGCTCGCAGTGCCAGCAGCAGGGGATGCCCTTCACCAGCTTCTTCCTCTCGCCCGGCTTGCAGGGCAGGCTGCAGATGGAGCTGGGCTGCTGGCTCCCGCCCCCCGGCCACAGCATGTTCTCCACCTGCGGGGCAGATGGCACCAGCCGTGCTGAGGGCACAGCGGGCAGCTGCCAGGCACACCTGGGCACGGGGGATGCCCTGCCCTGCTTGGATCTGGACCCTCAGCCCGTCAGCACATCCCACCCCAGCCCAGCCTGGCGTGGGTGAAGCTCTCCATTGGCCTTTTGGGAAGATTCAACAACAGGAGCCCAAAATGAAGCCCTCCTTCCCTCAAGAAGCCCCATCTGCTGTGGGCTGGCTCCTCTCTCCTGTCCCATAGCCAGAGTCCCCAGGGTGTGGGCACACGAGCTGAAGCACCTGGGGGACACCTTCCCCTCTGCCCCCACCACCTTTGGCTGCCTGGCTTTGCCCCCAGGGCCTCCCAGACTCTTCGTGGTGGGAAGAGAAACCTGCAGGACCTTCCCCTTACCTTGAGGTGCAGGTGGTCAGTCCACTGCCCGATGACTTTGTACTCAGGGGTGGAGTTCCTGATCTGGTACTGGTAGATGTCGTAACGCCCCGGAGCATCTCCGTTCTCATTGAACGTCACAGGGGTCCCGGCAATGCCTGTGGGAAAGGGGGGGCTCAGCACCCACAGCACCCCCAGCACCCCCCACCCTGCTGCTGGGCTCTGCCTTGGTGCTCCCCCCTTGCTGCTTCTAAGAAAGGGGGGAAAGCAGCTTTAAAAGCTAAATCAAGTGAATTCTGGAGATAAAATGAAAGGGAGGAAGAGAAGAATCAAGCGAGAGGGGAAAATAAATAAAAGAGACACTGTGGAGGAGATCAGAGGGTAGAGATAAATAGAAATAATAAGGGGACCAGACAGAAAATGTTTATTAAGGAGAAAGGGCAGAGGAAAGGATGCGCTTCCAGAGATCTGAGACAGACAAGGGCAGAGCAGCGGGAGGCAGTGGGACCTCTGCCAGCTGGGAGGGAGGAGCTGGCAGGGGGAGAGGATGGGCAGGACAGCAGGTGAGGGCAGGGTGAGGGCAGAATGGCAGAACTGCTGCCAGATTTAAGCTCCAAACGCTCTCAGGAGATGTGGAAGCTCAGACCTGCTGATGTGCTGCCCTCCCTGCACGCTGCATTCGCAGTGCAGCAGCTGCCAAATGGTACCACAAACAAACTGTGGGTGCTGCTGGGTGACCCACAGTGGGACAAGCAGAGATGCAGGTCCCAGGGCCGCTCCTGCCACCACCCCAGGGCGCAGCACACCTGAGAAGTTGACGCTGCGGATGTACTTGAGCAGCTCCACGCCGTCCACCGGGTCCATGCTGGGGCACAGCCCCACCTTGCCGGGGCACAGGTTCTTGTGCATGTTGTGCAGGGCGTGTCCCATGGCGTAGACGGCGTCGATGACGAACTGCACCTTCCCCTCCTGCTCGTACGAGGAGTCCTGGCCAATCCTCTCCCGGTCTGCGGGGACAGGGAAAGGAGGTTCCACCTCCTGTGCCCCAGCCATGCCCCCCAGGATGTGTCTGCTGCACCCAATCCCTTGCCAACGAGCCCACCCTGGACTGGAGCAGCTGGAAATTCCAACCCCGCTCCCAAACCTGCACACCCAGGGGACACGCAGCCAAGGAACATTCCCTGGGGAATACCCAGCCAACCTCCTCCTTGGGAGGTTCTGAAAATGTGGGTGCTGCACCCTGCTGTGCTTGCAAGAGCCCTCGGGATGTCACGTCCCCGTGCCATGGGACAGCCCTGAGCCCCCAACAGGATGCAGGCTGGGCTGTGACCGACACCCCACCCTCACCCCTGCAGGTTCCATCCCTCCTTCATCTCCCAGGAGTTTCCACCAGCGGTGTCAAGGACTGCCCAGGAAGCATCCATCACTGCCTGCCTGTCCCCCATCTCACTCCCAAAGCCTCTTGTCACCCCACTCCCCTTGTCACCCCTTGCCTTGCTGACCCCACAGCCTCTCCACTGGCAGGATCCTGCAAGGATCTGGCAATTACCAGTGACAGCTGCCTTCCCCGTCATAACCGCCCTTAATGGGCCCACAGACATGTTAATCACTTAGCAGAAGACACCGATTAACGCAGCACGCTGTTAATTACAGCCAAGAGAGCATCTCCCAAGGGGCACCACGGCTCTGGAGAGCTCCGGCCTCTGCCCCTCCATGCCTCCAGTGGGAAGGAGGGATTGTCAGGGAGCCGAGGGCACGAAAGCCACACCAGGGTGCCCAAAATTAACTCCAGCTCCACCACGACCCGCCCTGATGCAAGGTGGCATTCATGGGGAATGCAAAGGACCAAGCACCAGGTGCTGACCCCTTCTTTCCCTGCTCTGGGGGAGTGGGATGAAGATGAAGCTCCAGCCCCGTGAGCCGTGCTGGAGGTCCCCGTGCCAGGACCTGTGCCACTGACATGACACTAAAGCGAGCTGATAGTGAACTGACCGACAGGAAAAGATGATATCGGGGAGGTGAATTCATAGCCCATCCTTCAGAGTTATAAAAACGCTTTTGGAATGTGGAGATTACTCATGCAAAGCCCGGCAGGTGATCCCTCCTTCCACATTATTGACAGGAGCCATTAATCTTCTCCCTCAACTTCAGGCCCTTCCCCATATTCATCTCCCAAGGCGCAGACAGGCCACTCTGTCTTGTCAAGATAATTACCCATTAAAAGAAGAGCTGTAATAGACTGTCCAGGGAGCTGAGCCCATGGGGATGCCACAGCCCTGCCACCATCCAAACTCTGTCCTGCCCAGGGCACACACAGGGCCTGGGGCTGGTCCCTTACAGCTCCTCAGCTTCCCTCGGTCACCTCATCCCAAAATCCAACCCGCCGCAATAGCACAGGCTGTGGAGGCTGCCTCTTCATCCCTGTGCCAAGGCTGAGCAGTGCAGATAAGGAGACATCCCTGGGGCTGTCCCTCTGTCTCTCAGCACCTTGCCCCCGGCCCCAGTTGCTTTTTTCCAGACAGGAATTAGGTCGGGAATTAGGCCGGTGCACACAGGGGCAATGTGGAGCAGACAGCCGAGGCTCGTTCCCAACCTGGAGACAATAAATCTCTGCCAAGCTCCAATAGATGAGGGCCACGGAAGGGAGGTGACCTGCTGATTATAATAGCAGGGTCGTGCATCGTTCTACAGGGCTGGTAATTAATTTTCAAGAGCGTGACGAGGCTCGGCGGCCCCCTCGGAGGAGGGATGCGGCTCTTCCCCAGCGGCGGATGAGACGGGATTAGAATCAATTCCCAGCACACCACCGGTCCTGCCTTTTAGCAGGAGTTAATCAAAATCACTCCCAGTACATCTGTCTGGGAGTGATTTTGAGTGGTTTGGAGAATCTCCAAATTTTGTGGGTGCTGGCGGCAGCACCCAGAGCCTCTTGCTGTGTTTTTGAGCCCATCCAGGAGCAGGGACTGTCCCTCCAGGTGGGAGGCTTGTGGCAAATATGTGATGGGTGTTAGGGCTGGTCTCAGGGGTAACACAGGCAGCTGCCATCAGGAGTTCCATCAGCTCAGCCCTCACCTTTCTCCCAGCCCTCCCATCCAGGAGCTGTCTGGTTCAGAGTGGGATCCTTTGGTTTGGTTTTTAGGGTGGAATAAACTAGCCAAGCTGGCATTTCTTGGCCACGTTGGGCTCTGCCCAAACCTGAGGGAAACAGCCCCAAACTGGGAATTTGCATCAGCCCTGCAAGGCAGGATCTCATGGATCTGCAGGGGCAGGTGATTTGCTTCAGCAGGCGTTAGTTCCCCGCTCTATCTGCCAAGCAATCACTCGGGAGATGGTTTATTTGCTGACAAATTCCAATGATTTACAGACAGCTCCTAGGACATTTGCCACATCGTAGTTTCAGCTGCTTCCACTGACACCTTGGCCCTGAAATATCACCTGTTTAAAAGCTGCATCACGGTGGAGATGAGGAGATCAGCACTCGCAGGGCCTGCTCATGCATCTCCTGGTGCCGAGGGTTCCGTGATGCTCTGGAGAAGGATGAGGAGCTCTTGGCTACCCAAGGCCATGGCCACGGGCCAGTTTCCTGGCTTGCTCAGCTCCCACCCACCCAGCTCACCAGATGAACCCCTGGGAGAATGAATGCCTGCAAGGACCGGGATGTGGAAGCACCGTCTCACTCATCCTCAGCGGTTAAAGCAGGGGGAAAACAAAACCAAACAAAACTTTCACCATCCAACTTCGCAGGCACAGCCAGGCCCCTCTGCCTGACACAACAGCTTCCAAAGACACCCCTCCCAAGGGGACGAAGGGACGCGCCAATGTCCCCAAGTCCTGCCACGCCGCAGCCCGCGAGCCACGCCGCCGTCATCTGTCTTCAGCCGGTGCCAGGCAGGCAGCAAATCTCTCCCATCTCTCAGTAAACATGTCACCTCCCCGAGCCTCCAAGCATCACCTGACAGCAGCGCTGTCAGCAAGACAGATCCCCGGCTGCCTTGTTTACTGCACCGGTCCCTAAAGCCTCTTTTGGCTGGAAATGACTCAAAATGTGCAGCGGGGCTCGGGGAAGGAGCTGGGAGCCTGGAATGAGGATCCCCAGGAGGATGGAGCAAAAGCTCCATGCTCACAAGCATGGAGATTGTGGTTCTCACAAGCAGAACCACACCCCCCCACGAGCTGCCCCCCTCCCACAGCAGCCCCCCGAGCTCTTACTGGTGCATTTCTTGATGCTGCTGCCCTTCCTGAGCGCGTGCCGGCTCAGCTTGCAGTGGAAGTTCTCCTCCCAGAACTCGGCAAACCAGATGTTCCTGCGGTTGTTGTCCAGGGTCCTGCTGGAGAAGTAGCGGTCGAAACCTGCCCGGGGAGAAAGAGGATGGAGGGGATAAATCCCGAGGATGCATCACTCATTCCCAAGTTCCCCAGGCAGAGGGGAAGGGAGCTGTTGTGAGCGATGGGGACACACCGGAGTACGGTGGGATTGTGCCTAAAGTGTCACCTGTGCAGAGACACGAGTGAAAAATCCACTCAGGGAAGATACTCTGCACAGCAGAGACTTTCTGGGACTTGGAGAGGAACAGGAAATACCTCTCTAGGTACATTGGTGATAGAGGGCGAGCAGGGAAAACACGACACGTGGAAAATAAGGAGGTGATTGGTGGGCAAATCAGGAGGTCTTTAAAGTCCCTTCCAAACCAAATGATGATTTTTGGTGGTTTTTGGAAATTATGAACTCCACGGTGGTGTCACAGCCAAAACCTGCAGTTAAGGAGGGCAATCTCAGGGGACACATGGAGCACAGCCCATACCTCTGACCGAGACCCGCTTGGGCAGGATGGTGACAGAGCCCTCGGCCACCTCCTCCAGGTGCAGGACCGGGGCAATTTTGGAGCCCCAGCTGTCCGAGCCCATCCAGATGAAGTGCCCCGTCTGGTTCGCCCTCTTGGCCGCCTCCAGCACCCTTCTGTGGAAAGAAGCAGCAGAGGCTGGGTCACCAACTCCTTGTCTGGCCCCAGGGCAGTGGGGACGCTGGCACAGTGCTGGTGGCATCTGCTCCAGGCACAAGTTTAGCACCGGGCACAACCCGGTGCAGACACACAAAATCCAGCGGTGCCACTCAGCTCCTGCACCCTCTGTCCTCCCAGCCTGGGCACACAGGCTGCTTCTCCCACTTCATTTGCATATTTGCTGACTGGTAATTGAATTTCCCCTTAATTACCCAACATTAAGAAAGAAAAAAAATTTAAAATCAGGTTATACCACAGCAGGCAGGCGAAGCAGCAGCATGGAGAGTGCATGCTCCAGCATGGCCAGCCGCAGGAGCTAAACTGGGCTCTGCTGTGCTAAACTGGGCTATGCTGGGTTAAACTGGGCTGTGCTGGGTTAAACTGGGCTCTGCTGGCTCAACTGGGCAGCTGAGCAGCAGCTGGGAGTGGAGATGCCATCGGTCCTGCTGAGCATCCCTCCTGGTTCCAGACACTCAGACGTGTCTGCACACTCCTCCAGTGCCAGCCAGGCCAGAAAGTCGGTGGGAGGATGGGATCAGAGCATTCCTGACCCCGTGGGCTCTGTCTCCCGGGGCTCCCTGTCCCCCCGGGGGCTCCTGGGGGTCCCCAGCCATGTGGGAGCGGGGCCCATGGCAGCTCCATCTCCCCGTGCAGAGCCAAGGCAGGTTGTGAGTCAGCCCCCGCGTCGGAGCGGATCATTTCAAGTCCAGATGGTGTTTGAAATGTGTAATAAGGAAAAAAAACCCCATAGAGATCCAGCAGAGTGCAGACGAGATGGGAAGAGGCAGGCGTGCAGAGGGAGCCGTGCAGGCTGCTCCGAGCTCACCCCAGGCTGCCCTGGGCTCATCCCTCCCCAGGACAGTCACAGCCCGTGTCACACTCTGTGACAGCAGCACCTCCAGCTGCCCCTGCTCCTGTGAGGGGCAGGATCTCCCCAGGGCAAGCCCAGGAAATTCTCATGGGATCAGTGATTGACACCCGAACTGAGCCAGGCAAGAATTCCAGCTACAACCTTCCCAGCCTGTCCTTCCCATCTTCCAGGCTCCACAGTGCAGGGTCAGGATCATGGAGAACCCCACTCCTGGGCTAAAGCAGGCTCCAGAACCCCCTGCCCACAGCTGCAATCCCATCTGGATGTTTCCAGAACCCTGATAACAGGACCTGCCATTTATCCTGCAAGGTAAATAAATCCATTTTCCCTCTCACCCCCACCCGATGTCAGCTCCGCAGACATTTCTATTAAGGGAGGAAAAAAGGAACTGGGAGAGTTTGCACATCTGATGTAAACTGATTTAAACTTGCAGTTTACCCACATTTACATAATGTTTGCTGATTAATAAATTAGACACTTAGGAAATCAGGGGTAGCTCCATGTGAATCATTCTGCTCCATAAACAACGGAGCCGCAGCCGCCGCTTCGCCTGCAGAGCAGCTCCTCACCCTCGAGTGCAGCCACATCCCCGGCCCCAAAACGTCCCTGGAAGGTCCCCAAAACGTCCCAGGAAGGTCCCCTAGATCTGTTCCTCTGCCACACTGGGGCTGCTCTGCAAAGCAGAGCCAGTGCCTGGGTCCTGCCCTGGCCAGCGGGGAGCAGCCCCTGCCTGGTGTGAAGCAGCAGCTCGCGATATCCAGGGCTGCCAAAACCCATGGGAAGTGGGATTTCCCTCCGTGGGCTCTGCGTGGCTGTGCTTGGATGGCAGCCACTTGCTCCGAGTGGGTCCCCAGTGCAGACATTCCCTGCCACGCCACACAGAGCATCCTCTCCCCACTGCGGACACATCCCAGTGCATCCCAGTGCATCCCAGTGCATCCCAGTGCATCCCAGTGCATCCCTGCCCAGAGCCCCCTCCACACCTGATGTCGTCCTCGTTGGCAAAGATGATGACGGCGCGGGCGTGGGAGGTCTCCAGGAGCCGGCGGATGATCTTGTCAAACTCCCCCGGCTTGGGCTCCCTCGGGATCTTCACGGACTGGGCCACGCACACCCCGCCTGTGGCAGAGAGAGCCCTGGCACCGAGGCACCCCACGAGTCCCCTGGGGGTGTCCCCTCTTGCAGGGCTCCTCGGCCCAACAGGCTGAGCTGGGTCTCTCCAGCACTCCCACCGAGGGGCTGAGCACTTCACATCTCCTCAGGCCAGACCTCCTGGCCACCAGCCAGCCCCTGGGACAGGTCCCCCAGCCCTCCCCTTACCCCTCCTCTCCCAGGTCACTGCCTTCACCCCTCCTCTTCCCCCAGCTCAGCCCTTCTGCACCACATTCCCTCCCACCCTGCATCTCCACAGCTTCTCTCTGCCTCCCGCCCGCTCCTCTGCTACCTGTCACCTTCAACCACCCCCACACCTCACTCCAAATGTCCCCAGGACAGACACACAGCCCATCCCAGCAGCTCACTGAGGATTTTCCAGCCAGTTCCAAGCAGCAGCCCCTCCCCAGCCCCGGATTTGGAAAGGTTTAAGGGTTCTGCACACGGAATGGTCAAACTCCAGCAGAGCAGACAAGCCCTTCACTGCCGAGCAGCCAGGCCCTGCAGAGGGGTTTGTTCCCATCCCTATGGCACTGGCCGAGTTCCAAACCAGCTTTCCAAGGAGCCATTGCAAAAGCAGGTAATTAAAATTAAAAGAGACAATTGGAAGAGCCCCCACGTTTCACTGCTGGGCTCCCAACCTCCAGCTCCAAAAAACCAGAGCCCTCCTGCTCCTGCATTTCTGCAGATGCCAATAAAGAGAGAGATGGGAGAGAGAATTAAACATTGTGGGACCTTCTGGATGTAATTGATGGTCTCAATTTGCATAGTAAATGACATGGCTGATGCCTCCTGCCACTAACAGAGTGCAGCTTAAGCAAAGGTCAGCGTAATTGCCACCCAGGGCTGAGAGAGACTCCAGAGCACAGCCCTGGAGAGGAGCAGGACAGGACAGGCTCCAGGAGACTTCACTCCCTACTGGGGCTGCAGGAAAACTGGGAAAATTTGGCCCCTTGCAGCCAGAACCCAAGAGAAGAGCGATGTGCTGGGTGCTGAGCAGGCGGGGAGAGCTGTGGAGATGGGGCACAGCATCCCCACCCTGCACCCTCTGGTCAGGGCTTTCCAGGGGTTTTCTGGGGGTTTGTTTTCCTGTGGTAAGAAATTGGGCCAATTTGCTGCTTGTTTCCCATATGGGGAGCCAGATGGATGGAGAGGAGGGAGTTGGATAAACAGACAGATCAGCCAGGCGAGGCGGGCAGCAGCCGGCAGCGCCAGCGTGTCCCAGCCTGGGGACACTCACCAGGCCACCACAGAGCCCCCAGCCAGGCCAGGGTGTCACAGCACGCTGCCAGGGGCCACCATGCAGCTTAATTACAGTTTCCATGGCAATCAATGGAGAAAACCCAACAAAAGCAGCAGTTTGCAAACACTGAGAGCCTTCCAAAAGCCCTGGCGTGGCCGGGCGGGAGCTCACACACGAGAGTGGCAGCTGGGGGCTGGCACGGGCACACACCTGAGTGCCACCAGGCACCCGTGCTGGGGAACATCTCCCTGCACACGTGGCAGAGGAGATGGGCCCATAATAAACAAGAGGTTAAATCGATGGCAGCTCAGAATTGACCATGATGTTACCCGGCTGCTTCGTTAAATCAAACTAACGAGGAACACAGCTCCTCCAGGTGACAGCCTGCAGGGCTAAGGAGTCCCTGCTTCCCACAGCAGATGCTGACAATGTTTTTATCTTCTTAATTAATGAAAACGTAATCACCAACAGCAAGAAGCCCAGGGTGTCAGGGGGGCAGTGGCTGTGTGGTTTGGGAAGGGGATTTGCCAAGTGATGCTCCCACTGTCTTTGCACTAAAATCCATTTAGCCCAAGCACTCCTCTAAAGCCAGAAATGAAAGTGAGGAGGTGGCAGCGATGGCAAGGAGGTGACCACTCTCTCTACCCCAGCAGGATGGCACAGCACTGCTCCCTGACTTGGGACAAGGTGTGACTCTGGGAGAAGGCAGCAGGCGAGGCGTGGGGACCCTTCTCCTCCTCCTCCAGCTTGGGAAAAGACCAGAGAGGAGCAGGAATATTGGGGATGGGGGCAACAGGCCCACAGCTCCCACAGGCAGCTGCTGGAGGCAGTTTGGGGCCAGGCAGTCAAAGGATGCTCAGAGATGCCACGAGTTTCCTCACTGGTGGCACAGGACTCGGGGCACTCACAGCAAAAAACATCCTGGAAAACCCAGCCTGAGCCCACACCCAAACCTCCCACACCCAAACCTCCCACACCCAAACCTCCCACACCCAAACCTCCCCTCCCAACGCTGCCGGTGCCATCCTCAGGCACGGTGGGATCTCGCCTCTGCCTGTTGTCAAACACGGTGGGATCTCGCCTCTGCCTGTTGTCAAACACGGGTCAGGGTTTAATCTCCACCATTAGGGCTCGGTGGGAGCTCAGCCACTCGGGCTTCCCCTCTTGATTGCCGCTGCTTAATTAGCTCCTGGCTCAGGGGGCTCTGCCAGCGCTCCCGCAGAGCCTGCGGAGCTTGCAGCGGGCAGGGACCAGCCTAAGGGCAAAGCAGGGACCAGCTCAGCCCTGCTGGAGCAGGGATGTGGATGTTCCCCCATCCCAGGCAGCCCTGGGCACCCCAGGGAGGGATCAGGCTCTGCACAGCTCAGCAGTGATTCCATTCCCACTCCCAGCTCCCCTCCTAACTCCAGCCTTCCCAGGAGATTCCGGAGGCCAGAGCCTTCCCTGGGAGCGCTGCGCTGCTCCCCTGCCCCAGGACTTATTGCTTGTGCCACTCCAAAGCCTCCAGGAAGCAAATGATCACAGAAGAAGCCGTCGGGGACAGAGATCTGCCCCCTCTCCTGCACGTGGTGGGACCCAAAGGCTGCGGTCAAAGCTCCAGCCTCAAGATTTGGGAGTGGCTTTTTGGGGGCGACCTCCTGGTGCAGCCACCACGAGTAATGAGCCCGGCTGGAAGCAGACAGAGACAGCCAGGGGTGTCACATGGGGAGGAGCAAACCCGTCACAAATATACATCAGGCTCCTAACTAAAAATATGGGAAATTTAGTGAAGGATGAAACAGTAGAGGGGAGGGAACGGCAGCAAAATTGATCCAGGTACGTGACTAAGGAGTCCTGCACTGGGCTGGGAATATTCCCCTCGTCACAGACCCGAGGTGTGGCACACACCAGCTCCATCACACAAATATCCATCCCAGCCATCATCTCCAAGAGCTTGGAGAGAGCAGAGACCTCAACGCTGCAGAGGCAGAGGGTCCTGGGTGGGTCTGTCCGACCACCCAAGTGATGCCACAGGTCAGGGGCATGGGGAAATGCTGGACAGAGGGGCTGGAGGTGAGGACACCAGGGACACCCCGACGCTGGCCCTGCCATGCAGTGGAAATCCAGCTGACAGCCACTGCCAGTGCAGGATGCTCTGGGGGAGCAGGATGCACTTAAAACACTTTAAAATAGCTGAAGAAAACACATCCTTTGCAGACTGAACATCTCTGCAATGCTAAAACCCAAAAAGCAGCTCTTTAGTGAATAAGTGTGGGAATCCAGAGCTTCCCTCTGGCTGCCCTGGGACCCTGGCAGGGTCAGGAACCCCCTGGACAGAGCCCCAGAGACACTGGCTGTGATCTCTGTCCATGGAAAAGANCAGGCTTTTATTTCATAAATCTGTTTGCCTTACAGATCACCCAGAGAGTTAACTCCTGCCTGGGCTCTGCTTTTCCTCTCCACTCCTGACAAACCAGACATCCCTGTGATTCCACTGCTGCCAAGTTGGAGCACTTGGAATGGGCCACAGGGAGGGTGGGAGCATCCAGGATGCTGCTTTAGCATGCCATAAACTTGGTACCACTGTTTCAAAAAGAGCACAAGTTGCATTCCCCTCAACATGTGCTCTACACATGGAAATATTTGTTAAAAATCACCCAAAACCCCTGTTGGAATGAAAACATGGAGTATCACTAAATCTTGGAGGGGAGCAGTACAGAATTTCTGTTACATTTTGTGCAAACAGCCTTTACTGGCCTGGTGTGCTGGGATTTTGTTTTAAAGATCTGAGGTCAACTTTAAACAATTTGTTAAATAAAATTGAACTAATCAAAATGTAAAATTTCAGGTTTCCATCTGATAGGGAACTGCGGGAGTCCAGAGCTTCCCTCTGGCTGCCCTGGGACCCTGGCAGGGCTCAGGAACCCCCTGGACAGAGCCCCAGAGACACTGGCTGGGATCTCTGTCCATGGAAAAGAGTTTTCAATCTTACAGGATGAATTACCAGCTCTGAGGGTTTGATATAAGCAATAATTAAGTGTGGCACAGGTGCAAAAGTAAAATTTTAGGATTCTAGATGAGGGGTCCAAAGGGGACAAGATGGAGGAAATTGGGTGTGCCTTGTCCTTTTTCTCCTTCTTCATGCCCTCCATGTCTCACTGTGGTGTTGGCATTTTTCTGTTGGTTCAGGCTGGGGACACACTGTCCAACGTAGGTGACAGATATTGGCACGTTCTTGTAAATCCAGCCCAGGGAGTTTCTGGTATTGAACGTTTGTAACATCCACTGAGGGCAGAGCCCCACACGCTGCCCTGCAGGACAGAGCTGGGCAGGGCAGCAGAACATGTGAGAGATAAACAGAATAAACAACCTGGAAACCAGCACAGACCAATTATGGCTTCTGCTTTGGCAGCGGGGCAAAAACACAGAGACTTTTTACAATCTCAAAATCATCAATACCACAAATTCCAACAAATAAGGACTCTGCAGCCACCAGTGCAGCCACCAGCAACCACCAGGGGCCAAGAGCATCATCGCCAGAGCGACCGCAAACATGGCTAAAGATAAAAAGCTAAATGAATAAAGATGTAACAGCCACCCAGGTCAGCCTGTTGTGGTAGCCCAGGGCCAGCCCCACTGCAAGAAGAACCCATCTCCAGGGCGAGCTTCCTCCCTGCACGGCTGTCGGAGGTCGCGTCGTGCCTCGAGCAGAACCGTTTTCCACCGCGCTGCGAAGCTTCGACGCGAGGCTCTGCTAAAAATTGAAACTGAAGGTCAAGTTGATAATGCATCAGAAAGCAAACAGCTTGAGTGCGAGCTGCTAACGACAGCAATGAGCATTATTGCCTGATGGAAATAAAACCCGACTCTGAAAGCTCAGGCTTGGCATGAGAGATGAAGCAGAGCGCTGCGGGGAGGAGAGCGGGCGCTGCTCACCCTGAGCCGGGTGGGTGAGGAACCCAGCGTGGGGGGCTGGGGATGGGGCTGGGCTTGTTCCCCTGGCATAAACACCCCCACGGGGAATCTCCACCACTTGACTAACAGCCAGCCAGAGCCTGGCACAGGCCAGATCCTCCCTCAGCTGGCAGCGCTGTCTGTCCCTCTGACAGGCATCAGGCCCCTGCAAGCAGGGATAAGTCACAGCAGGGTCCTTTGGGCTGCTGGAGAAATGCAGCTGAGAGCCAAGAATACCCCAGAGATCCTCCACCCCTTCCCAATGGATCTGTGCTTGTGTTTGGTGCCAGCAGAGCCCTTTGCACAGGGGAAGACAGAGAGGCGAAGTGGGCAGAGCCTGGTTCTTCCTCCAGCCTGGCATTGCCACCACAGATGGCACGGCTTGTGGGGTGGTTAAATATATAAAATAAAGGAAAAAAAAAAAAGAAAAAGTACATTTTTGGTCCAGCCTCACCATTATTCATGGCTGTGGCTCTACTTCCATGGGCAAAGCAGTGTGGCTGACACCCCACTTCGCTCCCAAGGGAGATGCTCCAGGGAGCAGCTCAGAGCCCACCCGAGACCCCAGGGACAGCTCCCACAAATCTCCACATTCCTGCAGCGTGCCAGGGCCGCAGCAGCACCACTGCCACCACGCAGGCTTCCCTCACACCGCAGGCACCGTGGAAATCTGCTTTTTGATAACTAAATTATCACTAATGCACATAATCGCCAGGTTATGCGGATACCCAAATTACAGGACTGCCACAGCCCCGGATTAACATGTGGCTGCTCTGGCTCTGTGTGCACTCCTTTACTCTGCAATTAAGCTGTCGGATCGTTAACATCTGGTTAGAGGAGCTCGTGGTAACCACAGGTATCTCAAAGGAGAAGAGCTCACGCCGCAGCAGGAGCACCAGGCACAACCACCACTCCTTACTGGTGCTTAGTGGAGGACAGTGGGTTTGACTCGTGCCTGTGCAGCCCCTCGGCTGCCCCACAGATCCCCCCACGCGCATGGGGCAGCAGAGCATCCCCCAGCCCCACCCCAAACACACCCAGCAGTGCCCTTTGCACCTGCAGCTCCACACATCCCCTGCAGCCACCGCTCCGGAGCATCCCCGCACGCTGCTCCTCGAGAAGGCACAGCCCCGTGAAAAATATCCCACTTTTCAAGTGAAAATCCTGAAGAGCAGCTCCCAGGTTGGATCCCCAGATGGGTTCCTCTGCATACTAAAAGCACAGCTGGCTCCGGTGCCAGGGATGGAATTAAGGCTGCTCCTATTTATAGGGCTTTGATTAGGAGCTCGTCACCTCGAAGTTTTTATTCCCTTTATCCATTTATAAGGCCATAACGCAGTTTGACTGGCTCCAGATAGGCCGGTGTCCCACCGACTTTGCCAGAACCTAATGTGCCATTCAGACACACTTAAGCCTGTAATAAGCAGCAGCCTGTGCCCTGCAGGGGTTTAACTGACTCAAAAAACATCCTTTAGCTCCCGTCCCACCCCGTGCTGGGGGGCTGAGGCGATGCCAGAGCCAGGGGGGACCCCAGTGCTGTGCCAGCCCCTCCGTGGGTCCTGGCACGGCTCCGAATTTGTGGTAGCAGCACCCTCAGCAGCGATTCCCAGGGCTCCTCGCCCATCCTGGGGTTGGTGCTCAGGTCCCCACAAGCTCCTGCGCTGCTCCCAAGGCTGCTAATCCCCTCTAAGCATCCCAGAGCTCCCGTCAGCAAAACGCTTTCTGCCTCCAGACAAATCCTCCCAAAGAGTTTTGCTGAGCACAGACTTTCCGCCTGTCCAAAGCCCATAGACAAATTAAAGCACGTGCCCTGGGGGATAATTCCACTAAAACTGGGTGCAGCTCGTGGCGGTGCCAACTTGATTTTCTGTTAAAACCTGGGAGTATTTGTAAAAGCCTTGTGTTCTGGAAGGAGCCCAGCACCGCGGCTCAGGCGCAGAGGGAGGGGTGGGAGCAGCTCGGTGGAGCGGGGGAGCAAGGAGAGGGATCTCGAGATGCTTCCCAAAAGCAGCCTGCCCTGCAGCGTGGAGGCAGCCCAGGACTGCTGGTCCCAAACCTTGCTGGAAAACCTGGATCTTTGTTTGGGCAGCCCCAAAACCCACTCTGTTCCGAGGCCACCCCCCAAAATAAAAACCATCCACCCCAGCTCAGCCTAAGGAGTCCAACCAGACACTTCCCTCCATCCCATCCTTATCTCCTCCTCTCTCAGCTGCTCCCATCGCAGGAGAGATCCACTCAAGGAGAGATCCACTCACCATCCTCTCTGGACTTCTGGATGAAGGCCTCCACGCCGCTTTCACCGTAGCTGCCCTCGGAGGCCAGGGTGGAGACGTAATTCCACTTGAGGGCTTTGACGATGTCCACCATGGCCTGGGCCTGGTAGGTGTCCGAGGGGACCACGCGGGAGAAGAAGTCGTAGCGGCTGTTGTCACTCAGGTCTGGCGCCGTGGAGGCATAGCTGATCTGGGGGATCTGGGGTGCAGCAGGGAAAGGCACAGGATCAGGGCAAGGGGGTGATGATCTCCACCCCACAGCCACGCCCGTGGCCCCAAAGCCTTGCTTTGGAGCAGAGGGAGGTGGGAATTGAGGATGAGCATGGGGTAGGTGGAGAATGTGACACCATCAGGTGCTCCAGGGGACATCGGGGCTTGGGGACCACCTGCAGCTCAGGAACACCCAGCAGGACCCCAAAAGGAGTTTCTGGAAAATCCAGTGTGGGAGAGACCAAAGGAAAAAAAACATAATTCTGCCCTGGCCAGCACTGTCAGGGTCTCCCTTTGGTTTTTTGGCTTCTTCCCCAGGAAGGACAGATCCAACCCAATGCTGCCCCCCCAGCCCTAAAAAAACCCCTTTAAATAAACCAGAGCCACCGCAGCTCTCCTGGCACACTGGAATGATTTAGCACCGCGGGACCAGGCAATGTTTAACACGCAGCACTTTCCATCTCCAAAACACACCACACATCCTCATTTATCTTAAAGATGGAAAAGGCTTATTAAATCATCAAGCCCAGGTTCTCCCCACCAGCTCTGGGAATCCGAGGTGCTGTAACAAGCCCCAGCCACCTCGCTGGGAGCCCAGCCCACGGGTGAGGTGTGCACCAGGGCTGGGTGTCCCAACCCTCCTGGCCCCACTCCATTCTCCTCCAGTCCTGCATCTCCCAGTTCCTCCTTTGTTTCTCTGCGATTTCCCCTCTCCCACTCCTGCCTCTCTCTGTTAAATGCAATTCTGGTGTTATAAACCCACGACTCCACCTGAATGCTAAAAGGCCCCTGGAAAGGAGCAGCCACCCTTTCTACCTGCCTGCGAAATAGGAGATGAAAAAAGGGAGAGCTGGAGCAGGGGTGGGAGAGGGAGCGGAAGGAATCTTTATCAAGGCACAAATAGGATTACTCCCTGTGACAATCTGCTTTGTGCTCCATTCCGAGGGGCTCTGATCTGCTCGTTGGGGATCTCTGACTGGAGCCTCCATTAAAATTCTGCTCAGCAGGTGAGGCGCTCGCCTGGCAATCTCTCATCCCGGGGGGAGCAGGGGGCTGCTCCCAGCACATCCCCTCCCCTTCCCTGCAGGATGGGCACGGGCTCGGGATGGAGGCAGTGCCCACCAGGGCACTGGCAGCAGCAGTGCCCATGTCAAAGGCGATCTGGGGGCAGGGATGCACCCCTGCCCTTCCAGAGGGTCCTTTCCCAATGATTTTTCCCCTGCTGAGTGTTTTGGTTTTCCACCACTTCCAGACATCCCAGCTATTCCCCATGCCCCTGCCATCCCACCCAAGCTCCAACAGCCTGGCATTAACCCCTGGCCTGCCCATCCTGCTCCAGCCTCAGCTGGAAAACAAAGCCCAGAAAATACCTGTTGATCCACGGGCTATGGACTGGAAGCTGTATTTTAATAAACAAAAGGAAAGGGCTTTTTTTTCTCTCGCTCCTCTGCCTTGGATGAAAGTGAAAATAAAATACCGGTTCCCAAATGACCATTTCATAGATTTCTTCTGCCTTTTCCCCCCTCTGCCTTTTTGATAGCCCAACTCCTGGCACCAGCTATTTTCTCAGATAAAAGACAAAAGTCCTTTTAGATACATAAAAGTAAAATGTAGGCAGGGAATTCAATGTTCTTAGAAAGAAGGATGCAGTGGGAAGAGGGAGCTGGAAACATCTCTCAGCTGCAAATTTGCTGCACTGGTGGTCCCTTGTCTGGCTCATCTCCAGCCTGGGACAAACATTGTGTGGAGGAAATCAGCAGGACCAGCTCTCCTGCACCCCAAGACCTCCTTATCCTACTAAGAGTAGAGGGTAAAACTTTCTTCCTTCTCTTGTTTTTAATCAAAAATCATCACCCAGAAGCACCCTGAGCCTGGAAAAACATGCCGTGGGGTAAGAGGAATGGTGGGACCCGGGGCTGGAGATGTCACCCTGCTCCTCCAGGGTCAGTGGACTGGTGTGACTGACCTCTGGTGCACTGGGAAAGCTGCATTTGGTACCTCCATCCTCACCCAGCATTACCGTGGCTCAGAGCTGCTGTGCTGTTTTCTCCACCAGCGGGAGACAGAATCCCCCCAGCCTGGGAAGAATTAGGCAAAGGTGGAGATTTCAGCACATCCCAGCTCAGGATTAAACAACTGATACCAATATCAGCCTGAGCAGGAAGGAAGGAAGAACCAAAAACCAACCAAAAACCAACCAAAAACCAACCAAAAACCAACCAAAAACCAACCAAAAACCAACCAAAAACCAACCAAAAACCAACCAAAACCACTGCAGAGCCAGAGCTGAGCACACAGGTCAGGAGCACCCCACAGGCAGCGACTCCTGCACCAACCCCCCCCATGCCAGACACAGGGTCAGGAGCAGCTAATTCCCTCCCCATAATTATTAATTTCATGCATATCTTATGCAAAGCCCTGGTTCGCCGACAAGATGGAATTGATTTAATTAGAATTTCCATCATCGAGCCATTTGGATGGCAGCTTTTAATTAGGGAGAGCGTAAAGCACCGCAGGGGCTGGGGCAGGGAGGGGCTGCTCGGAACTCAGTGCCAGGACAGAAGGAGCTGCAGCCCCATCCTCCTGCCCATCCCCTGGGCACGGGGTCTGGCCCGGGATGCAGCCCTTGGCACCTCCCTGGAGAGGGAAACGGCAGAACCAAAACTCCAGGGAGCACAGCAGGCGCAGGAGGACGCTGTCCCTGATCCCTGCACGACCTGCCACCACCCCTCCCCAACAAGCCATGCCCAGGGACCCCTCAGGGCTGGGGGCAGCCCAGGGGAGGCAGGCAGCTGCAATTTGTTTCAGTAATCCCAGTGAAGAGCAGGGAAATTGGGGGATGAATCAGAGCGTCCCCGGCCGCTGCCACCTTCCCGCTCGCCCGGTGGAGGTTGTTCACCTGCTAAGTGGGGAAGCCTGTCCTGAATCTCTCCAGCCCACTGCCCCCACAGCCTTTGGGCATCCTGACACGAGCCAGGGGGCTCAGCACCACCAGGAGGGGCTCAGAGCCAGGGGTCTGCACCGGCCAGCCCCAGGCAGCGCAGCCTGGCAGGGCTGCAGGTGCCGAGTGCCCGGCTGCAGCGCGGGCAGCGCCGTCCTCAGGTGAATTATTCATGCTGCACAACTGCAGAGAGCGCCTGCACCGCTGCCACGGGGAGGAAACAGGCACCTCCGAGTGCCTGGCACGTGGCAAACCCATCCTCTGCCTGCTCACCCCACGCCGGGCGCTTGGGATCCACCTTGTCACAGCTCTTTCTGGGCGGGGAGGAAAAATGCACCTCAGATGCTTTTCAGGGGGATTGCATTTGCAGAAGGGTCTGGTTTCCTTGACAGCATCACCGCTGTGGTGGCTCAGGAGCCTGTGGGCAGAGCTGGGGCTGGAGAGGCAGCAGCAAGGGGTGGGAAGGAGCTGGAAGGTGCCAGAGCGCTCTGGCAGCGACGCCAGGGAGATGAGATCGCGCGGATTTGGGGAAAGGATTTTCTGCAGGCAGAGCGACGAGGAGAGATGAAACCGGGCTTGGACAGAGGATGCCGCATCTGCAAGTTGTTCCACTGATGTACAGCTTTAATTAGGAGGCGGCAGCTAACGAAGGACCCGTTATTTATTTATGTGGTGCAGGAGCAACAAAAGCCCTGGCAGGGAGGAACGAGGCCGGCCTAGCGGGGAGGGCTGGGGGTGTGCAGGGGATGGAGCAGAGACACAGGAGGGAGTGTGGGACGGGACGAGGGGACCACAGCAGGGAAAGCATCACTTCAAACCAGGAACAGCCACCTGCAGGGTGCTCATGGCCACAGGAGAGAAGGGGAAAGCTGGGGGGCTGCTGCGCTGGACTTGTGTGGCCTCCTCACCTTGGTGGACTCTGATTCACTCCATGCTGCTTGCTGGGTACCCTGGAGCCCTCCCAGATGTGCTGGAGCCCTCCCAGATGTGCTGGAGCCCTCCCCAAGAACCACTTGAGCACTCAGGGGGAACTTGGGGCACCCCGCAGGGAGGGTCCCACTGTACCAGCTCCCAGCACTTTCTGCCAACATCCCCGTGCTGGGGGAGCACTGGGGGGGACAGGAGGGACACAGCAACACGGGGCCAAGCGGGAGCAGAGCTCCAGCAAGTGCCATGCCCCAGGGAAGGGGCAGAGGCAGCTGCCTGTGCCCGAGGCAGCCAGGGCTTTGCTGAACCTCGGAGCAGAGTCACCCACGCTTAAAGGTCAGCGGCGGCGTGAAATGGAAGTCGCCTTATTCTCATTTTAAGCATGTCCCTGCCATAAAAGCAGTGTTTGAATAACAAAGAGCAGCAGCAGCACTCGGGTCATGGCGGGGGAAGAGCATGCAGAACCCCCAAACCCCCAGGAATGCTGCAGGAATGGCTGGGCCCAGACATGACCCCAATCCCATGGGAATGGTGTCCCTGTGCTGGGACCACTGGGAAGGGCACCGACCCCCACACTGGGACTCACTGCTGTCTAGGAAAGGCTGAGATTTTCCTTATTCTCCTCCCCCAAGGGGTTCTGAGGTCTCCAGCCTCTACCTGCTCATCCCCCCATCTGCATTTCTTCCCTGCCCCGCTGGGCTGGGATCAGCTCTGGATTAAAGTTCCTGGGGCTCAGGATGCGCCAGCAGCAGCACCAGTGCCTGGCTGCTCAGCTGGGGCAGGGCTGCACCGGAGCTCAGTGCCATCCTTCTGAACAGGGCACAGCTCTTTGCCCAAGGACCAAAACTGGAGGAGAAGAGTGAGGGAAAAACAAACCGAAAGAACCTAGAAAGACTTCAGTTGCCCCCGACTATTCTGACTGTCACTCTCCTGCCTCCTTCCCCACTGCCAGCCTCCCTCCTCCTCTCCAGAGCAAGTATTCAATCTTTTTTGTCTTGGCAAATAGCTTTTAAGTTCCTCCCACTCCTTCTAATTTATATTATTTTAATTATTGAATAGCCCTCTCACTCGTCGCCAGGAACATTAACACGTTTTTTAAAAAAAAATGAGACCCAGAAAAATCAAACTCCATCAGCGATCTGGTTCTTCCGTCCTCACTAACAGCTTCCAGCCCTCCCAGGAGGGGACCCGGCTCAGCACTCCAGGCTGGCAGAGGAGGGGAAAGACAAAGGGGAAACAGCACCAATCCTGCAGAACACAGGGGTTTCAGGGTGCTGGGAGAAGGCCGAGATGGGATGGGGCCCCCCTTGCCACTGCAGGTGCAGAATATTTACATTTCTGCCTCATTTCTGCAGAGGGACCCTTGCTCACACCCGCTGCAGCCCAGGGATGTGGTTGTGGATAAATAAATGTACAGCAAAGGGGAAAGGAATTATCAACTCCTCAGCATTCCTGCAGCTGGCACAGGGCAGGAAGAAGAGCCCTGCTCATCCCACCACAGCCTGAGCACCTCTGGGGCTGGTGGCACAGGACAAGCGTCCCCAGCCTGGCTGATGTCCCCTTGGACTGGAGCAGAGCAGCCCCAGCTGCCCCCTGCCATCAGCCATCGCTGCCTCCACCCCTCTGGCTCAGGTGGGATTTACATTTTGGGGTATACCCCCTGAAGGAGCATCCCCCAGAACCAAACACACCCTCAGCCCACCTCCCATCCAGCCCCCGCCACGGGGCGGGAGCACCAGCACCACGAATCCGGGGGAGATGAGACAAAAACCCTCCAGCTCCGAGTGTCGTCAGCGGAGAGGGATGGAGGAAGGGATCCCCGGGGACCTGGGGGAGGCAGGAGAAGCGTTTTAACAGCACCAACTCTGCCTCCCCCCAGCTGTGGAGGAAGAGGCACACGGGAGAAACGCTGCCAGAGCACCCGCGGGGGTTTCACCGAGCGCTTCTCATCACCTGGCCGAGCCCTACCTTGAAGAGCCGCAGGATGTTGGCCACCATGATGGACACGGAGCTGCCCGAGGCGCCGATGACGCCGACCACCCGCTCCGGCTTGGTGATGATGGGGGGCCCCCCGCTGACGCAGCGCACCTCGGTGCTGTCCTTCTCGATGAGGGCCTGCACGAAGGTCAGCGACTGCTCCAGGGCGTGCGTGTCCCGCGAGCACGTGTCCAGGATGCGCGCGCCCAGCGTGATGTTGGGCAGCAGGTCGGGGTCGTTGTTGATGCGGTCCAGGGCGAAGAGCATGGCCTCCAGGCGATGGATGCCCTTCTCCTTCTTCAGCTCCCCGCAGGCTTTGCCCTCGGCGCCCCGGCCGTGCACGGGGAACAGCCCCCCAAGCGTGATGTCGCCGTCGATGCGGATGGAGTTCATGTGCGGGTAGCCCTGGCCTTTGGGCTTGGCAGCACCCCCGGGCGCCCACCCCCAGCTCCAGGCACTCAGGAAGAGGCAGAAGGACAAACGCTCCATGCAGAAGTGAGCCCCGCTCATCGCCAAGGCCGTGCCGGGGCAGAGCTCGGGCCGGGAAGGCGGCGGCGCTCAGGGGGCCGGGCCGGGCCGGGCGGGCGGCATGGCTCCGGAGGGATCCCGCTGCGCTCCCTCAGCGGCTCCCGGCGCTGCTGCCAGCCCCGGGGGAGCAGCGGGAGGTCGGGGTGCGGGAGGGTGCCGAGGTCTGCATGGCTACACCGGAGAGGAGAGACGGCAGCAGAGACGCGAGCCCACGCAAAGCTTCGGCTGCTTCCTCCGGGAACCTTGGAGGGACGGGGAAAAGGGGAGAGAGAAAATCAGGCAGGAGCAGGAAGAGGACGTCGGCTATTCTGGGATTTCATCAGGGAGATGGTGGAAATAAGTAGTGGGGGTTATTGCAAAAAATAGATTTGGGATCCACTGGGTCTTTGATTCATGCCAGGGGTTTGGGCTCGGCCCAAATTGCATCCAGGCAGAGGGGCTGGTCAGGGCCTCGGAGACAGAGCCCACAGAACAGCACCGGTCAGTGACCAGCTCAGAGGGGTCCCTGAGACCCTGTCCCAACCTGTCCCTTCCTAAGGGAACTGAGAGGGTGGGACAAGTCCCAAGACAGCATCGGAGTGGGCAACCCCCACACGCACCCCCAGCCTGGTCCCTGCCTATCCTAAAACACCCCTACTTTTTCCCAGCGGGTTTTTCAGTCCCCTTCCACAAGCCCACTTGCCTTGAGCCCCCCAAACCGAGGTCTGCATCCTCAGCTGGAGCCAGGCACTGCCAAAACCCAGCGTTCCCGGTCCGAGTCACAACCCGGAGCTCTGCGCTCCTGCCGCTCTCCCTTCAGGCCACTGATTCCTGAAGCAGCAGCTGCTTCCCTTATCGACGGCTTCCAGCAGCTGATATCCACGGCACCTGAGCTGCCCCCGCCCCAGCAGCACAGCCCCTGCCTCAGTTTCCCCCCAGGCAGGCTCGCCCTCATGCCCATCCCCTCCGCAGCCGCTGACGGATGCTGAGGGCAGCGCATGATTAATGCAGGCACCAAAAGCAGCGAGGAGCCGAGCAGGCAAACGCGTTCCCCAGGCAGGACGAGCAGCAACAGTGAGACCAAGGAAACAGCTTAAATTAATCTCAGCTCAAGCCCAGAGCCGGCACCCAAGCTGGACAGTGTCTCACCAGCCCCAAGGGTGCTCCTGCAGCCATCCCAGCCAGGAGGACCCTGGCTTCAACTCACCTCCATGAATTATGCACCTCCCCGCCCGCCGCAGCCGCTTGAAGGCCCATCTCCAAAGCGATTCTGACAGCCGGGGCTTTTAAGGAGCCAGAATTACCCGGTGCCCAGCTCGGTGCTTCCAAAGGCAGGAGGTTGGGAATGCCGCAGCAAAACCCCCACCCCAGCCTGCCGGGAGAGCCCCCAGAAGCTCGGCCCCGCTGGGATGGGGCTCAGGGACAGCGATCCTGCTTGGCGCTGGCCCCTCTGCAGAACCACCCCACGCATCACCAGCAGGCACGGAGCACGGGGAATGTGGCTCCTGCACAGCCTGGGAGCGGGTCAGGCTCTGCCCGTGCTGGGGAGGAGGAGGAGGATGGGGAGATGAAGGATGCTCAGACACCACAGGCACCTTCAGAGCCCCGCACCAGCCGAAAGCAGGTCGCCTCTCGCACCCTCATCCCTGGAGCTGCAACATTTCTGCCCATCAAAGGTGGGATGCTCACACCATGGACGGCTCCCAGGGAAACCCTCAGAGCCCACGGCAGCTCCCGCAGAGCTGGCAGTGCCCCCAGAGCCCACTGCCTCTCCCTTTCTTCTTTTAAGCTTTTTCCCTCTCTGTTCTCTCCCCTTTGTGGCTCCTTTGATCATATAATCTGAACGAACTGAAGGTAAAAATATCACGGCAGGCAAGAAGAAAGCACAAATAAGGGGAGAGGAGGAGGGAGCTGGTTCGGAGCCCTCACGGAATCATCGGGGAAGATGGAACCCCTGCTGCAAACGGCCCAGGAAGGGGTGGCAGATGAGCACCCCCATCCCCCCCACCTGCCCCCAGCAGCTCCTCAGCCACACACAGGTCACTGCTTCCACACAGCCCAGCCCTTGGTTCCACCATGCCTCAGCCTCCCCAAAGCAGCTGCTCCACCAGGGGCACATCTGGAGGGAGGTGCACATCTGGAAGAAGACACCTGCCTACAGCAGGTGCTCACGGAGCAGGGAACAGCCTTACCCACACACACCGGGCACCGAAGGGGCCACAGCCGCCCTCCTGCCCCATCTGCACAGATCCACAGGGGCACCCCGAGGGCGGCAGGAACAGGGTGGCATCATCACTCAGCACGGTGCTCTAGCCCAGCCCCAAGGAAGGAGCAATTCTGCTTTCTCCTGCTTCCAGCACAGCATGGGCGAGGACGGAGCCTTCCCATCACCCTCATCCCGGCTGTGCCGCAGCCCGACCCGCAGCTGGGAGGTGGCACAAGCACAACCAAGCTGAGATCTCCAGAGCCAGGGCTGGGTCATCCCCTGCCCGAGCCAGGCTGGGCTGGGCAGTGCCAGGGCGGAGGGAGCCGGGGCTGCTGCCCAGGACTGGCAGAGCCCTGCGGGGCACGGGCGGGCAGCTCGGTGGCATCCTGCTCCCCTCTAGTGGTGGCCAGCGGGCCACCGGCATCACCAGCCACGGAGGGCCTGGAGGGAACAGGAGAGGGCTCAGCTGGGCAGGAGAGCCCCTCTTGGGCTGGTGAAAAGTGTCCCTGCCCATTACAAGGGCTGGAACTGGATGAGCGTTAAGGTCCCTTCCAACCCGAACCATCCTGTGATTCCATTAAATCAAAGTCTGATTAAGAATTCCCCCACATCACAGAGATCTCCTGCTGCACAGCCCTCTCCAGTGCCCAGAGGAGCAACGGGCCATCCCAGGCATCACCTCTGCAGCTCCTTCCCGCAGCTCCTCCTCCACGTCCCCACAAGCACTGCCCGGGCTGGACTGTGGTGGACACACTCCGGACAGACCCCGCTCCCAGAGCTCTGCCTGCAGCAGGATCCATCATCTCCCAGTTCAGAGCCAGAGCGTTTTCTGGGGCTCATCAAACCGAGCAGGAGCTGAGCTGGTTACAGCCCAGGAGATGCAGCAATAATCAGGCAAGAGCACCCAGCACTCACCTGCACCCATCCCCAGCTGCCAAAAAGCCCAGCTCCACCAGCACCAGCCTGGCACTGGGAGGGCTGTGCCAGCTTGTGCCACACTGGTTCCTACCACCTCCACAGCATCTTTTTGAAAATCAAGGCTATTTCTTTCCCCACCTGCTCTTCCTCCAGCAAGCAGGGCCAGCCAGCAGGCAGCACAATATCCCAATTAGTGTACACTCACTCTTCCCGCTTGCAAGCAGCTACAGGGTACTTTGCTTGGCTCCTGGGCTTTTTAATTGCAAAAGCTCCATGAAGTAGAGCAGAATGGAGACGTGGACAGAGGGAGGGGACGCCAGGTTAAGTTCTCTCCCGACAGGCAAAACCTTAAGTATTCAGGTCCAGTACCCCGGCGTTCGCTCAGAGAAGCAAGGCCACGGCTCAGCAGGCAGCAGTGAGCACAGACCCCGGATTGTGCCATCCAAACCCCCTCAGTGAGCTCCAAAACACAGCCCCGGCCCAGCAACCCCTCCAACGATGCATGAACCGACAGCACAACCCTCACACAAGCCCAAGCCCATCACCAAGGGGCCAACTCGTCCTCTCTGCAACCAGGTCCTGCCAGCACCCAGCTCAGAGCCCCATGATGAGGAAAACCTGGGTATGACCACCCACCTCAGTGCCCCGGAGCATCTGCTGAAGGACGCTGAAGTCCAACCAAAAGTGCTCCCGTAGGGCGCGGACGAGATCCAGGGAATATTTCTCACACCATATTTATATACATCCTTAACTGCAGCAAGCCCTTTCGTTCCTCCTCCCTCCCGCTGCCAAGCAGGTCAGGGCTAATCCCTCACTTTGAAGGATGGGCTGGCGCGGCAGGGGGGGAAGGCGAGCAGGATCCAGCCCCGGAGCAAGCGGAGAGGGAACAGCAGCTCACCTTGCGGGCAGGCGGCGCGAGGAGTCCACGGGCAGCCGGCGCAGAGCTCCAGGGAGGGAAGGAGCCGCCGCTGGTCCCCCCCCACCCCGCTCCTGCCACGTGCAGCAGAATCCCGCAATTAATTTTTTATCATCATCTGCAATTTGGGATGGTGCTGGCTGCCGGCGAGAGCGCGGCCTGACTGCCGGTGCCCGGCGGTGCCCATGGCAGCGCGCGCTGTCCCCACTCCCCATCACACCCACGCCCCGACACTGCGGTCTGGCGGTGCCAGCCCCTGCCCACATCCCCCCAGAGGTGACTCCAGAGACCCCCATCCTGAGCCGGGCTCGGTGCGGGGCCATCCAGGGAAGTGCAGGGAGGAAAAGCCTCCGTGAGACGCAGCACCCGGGAGGAAGAGCCGGTGCCCGCAGCGGGCGCGAAGCTGGGGAGGGCGGCGGGCACGGGTTCACGTATGTTATAATTAGGACCTGCCACTTCTTCAAGCCGTTGCCTTTCTGGGAAGAGCTGGAAGGGGGTGGCTGAGCTGACAAATCCATCCTCCTCCTGCCTGATGCCAAAGTTGAAGCACGTGATGCTCTTTTTCGGGGAGCCGTTAGGTGATGCTGGCCCCTGGGATGTGGGGCCAGGCCACGGCTCCACTCGAGCTTGGATTCCCATGGGAAAATCCCCTTGAGGCTGCTCTGACACTCTGGGGTGCAGCTCAGCACCCCTTAAGCCAGTGTCTGATGCCATCCTCAGGAGGGCTTTGCCTGTAGCCCCCCAGCCTGGGGCGGCTGGAGCCACCGCTGTCTGTGGGGACCCTCTGCCGTCACAGAGAGGGACCACCCCCAGCAGCAGCACTGCCCCTCCAGCCCGGCCACAATCAGCCGGGATCTCTGCACATCCCATGGGAGCGAGCCCCCCCGGCGCAGAGGTGGCAGGTCACAGGGAAAAGGATCCTGCCCCAGCTCTCCCCCGCGCCACAGCCTTGCCCGGCACATCCCCCAGCGCATCCCCCGCTGCCTGGTGCGGATAACGCTGCTCACAGGGCACCAACGCGGGGAAGGAAGGAGACGAGCTCTTTCTTTTGGCAGTTGTCGTGGTGGTGTTTTCCCGAGCTCCTCGCTGCATTCAACAGATCAGCTCTGCTCCTTCTCTTCATCCTTCCATCCCTCCCCTCCTCCCCGAGCCCTGCCCGGGGCACACGGCCGCTGCCGGTGGGTGACCGCCAGCCCTGCCTGGTGCCACCCTCGCCGAGCCCCGAGCCACAGGTCACCTGCAGCGCGCTGGCGATGGCAAAGGCGGTGACTCACCCGCAGCCTCTCCGTCGCAGCCGCCGCCGAAGGCAGCGGGCATCCCCCAGAGCCGGAGCAGCCCACGGAAAAATCACCCGGCTGGCAGAGCACGGCAAACTCATCACACCGAGGGGAGGCGGAGGAGGAGGAGGAGGAGGAGGGCTGGCAGGGCTGCACCCGGGCACGCAGTGGGAGAGTTCCCCGGTTTTTTCTCACGGTTGCCAACTTCCCCAGCGTGGCTCCCGACGCCTCAGATCCGCTCGCCCGGAGAGCGCTCGGGAGAGGAAACCGAGCCCGTGCCGGAGCGGGGCTCTGCCCGACCCAGGGGTGCCTCCGAGGGGTCGCTCCAGCGCCGGGGAAGGGTCGTACCCCCCACAGCCCCTCCGAGCTGGCAGGGGAAGCGCCTTCAGCCCTTCTCCGCTCTCCTGTCCCCCCTGCCCTGCCCTGCGGCGGCTCTGCGGGCGCTGCCCGCTGCGGCGAGGCGAGGGCAGCCCCCGCCGGCGGCTCGCCCGCGGTCACGGCCACCCAACCCTGCCCGCTGCCTCCTGCCCCAGCCCCTGCCAGCCCCCCCGGCCGGCAGAGCCCCCCAGCACCCCTCCCGGAGCCCTCGCCGGGCAGTGGTCACCTCTGGGGACAAAGGTGGCAGGTTGGGGACCGGGGCGAGGGGTGCCCTCCGTGCCCCTGGCGGAGGCGAGGAGCGGGCAGCGCTCCGCAGTCCCCAACAATGAATAATGCGATGAGTGCGAGAGGGGGGAGCGCTGGGGGTTCCGGGCTGCAGCCCCCGCTGTCGCAGCCCCCCCAGCACAAAAACAGAAGGAAAGGCGGAAAATTCGCCGGAGCGTTTTGGTGGAGGGGAGCGGCGAGGCTGCAGGGAGGGGGAGCGGGGGGCGCTCCGGCCCCGGGGGAAGGTGCGGGGGCACCGGGAGTCCCGGGGATGCTCCCCCCGCGCCGCCCGCACTTACCCGCGGGCAGTGCCAAGTTGGCGGCGCCGCCGGCCCCGTCTCCGCCCGGTGCCCGGTGCCGCGGTCCGCCCCCGGCCCGGGGGCGCGGGCAGCCCGGGGGGGCCCTGCGGCGTGCGGCGGGGGCGGCCCCGGCCCCCCCAGCCCCGGCCCGGCCCGGGAGCCGAGCGAGCCGCAGCCGGGCGGGACCCGCCGCGCTCCGCGCACCGCAGCCGCGGCGAGGAGGAGGAGGAGGAGGAGGAAGAGGTGGAGAAGGGGGAGGAGGAGGGGGAGAAGGAGGAGGAGGAGGAGAGCCGGGGCCGGGGAAGTTTTGCATGAAGAGGAGCTGGGAAGCCCGCCGCCGGCTTTGCCAGCCTCTTAAAGCACTAGCGCAGCGCGGGGACCCCCGCCCCGGCCGACCCCCGGCTCCTGGAGGAAGGGTCTCCCCGCCCGGCTGCTGAGGGTCTCCGGCTCCCTGCAGCGACAGCCATCCTCAAATTCCCTTCTCCAGGTGGGAGCAGCTCCCGCAAGCAGCGACGAGGGAGGATGCTGTCACCCCAAGCCGGTGCCTTTCTCCCTCCCAAAAATGCAGCCGAGCCCCCGCGCCCCGCGGAGCTCGGCTCCTGCCTCGCTTTCCCCGTCAATGCCCCGCGGCTCCGAGGAGCCCGCCGTGCGGTGTCGATCATTAATCCAGAGAAAACACAGCCCCCTGGTAATGGCCATTGACACATTAAGTGCTGCGATCCATCACGGTAACGACACGGCGGCGATCGCCCGGTCACCGGAGCAATTAGGGCACGCCCTGGCGAGCACCAGGGCTGCCGGGGCTCCCAGCCCCTCCTGGGGTCCCATCCGCGCACACCAAGCGGGGTCTGGCTGTGGGGAGGGGGCTCTGCCTCCTCCCAGCACCGAAGAACCAAGCACGGACCACAAACCCACAATTCCAGCCTCATCTTCCTCAAGGGGTGATTCGTGTTTGCAACAGCGAAATCCCAGCCCTGGTGAGGGTCAGCCAGAGCCCAGGCAGGCTGGTTGCCCTCAGAAAAGGCTCCTTTTCACCCAAATCCCAGGGTGGAGAGGAGTTTTGCCGAAGCACCGGGGATTGCCCAGCTCCAGGGCTGGGATTTGAAAGAGCCCTGGCCTCCCCGGTGAGACGCAGCTCCTGAAAAGCTGCCCGGCCACCCCGCTGCCACCGGAGCGCTCCCGTGCATCCACGGGATGCTGCCCAGAGCTGCAGAGCCGCCAGGCTGCTACCGTGGCTTCGTTTCCAGCAAGAACAGGAGCGGTGTTTGTTGTTACTCTGCTCTAGAGGGACAGGGCGGGGGGCACAGCCCCACCACCCCACCCCGTGTGAGCATCCTCAGCCGGGGCTCTGATGATGCCGGGCTCCAAGCAAAAGGAAATCTGCACTGTGCTCGATGGGGAGGGAACACAGAGAGCAAGCCCCTGGGAGGACAGGACCCCCTGCCTGCCCCAAGCCAGGGCTGAGGGGACGCCAGAAACCACAGGATAAGCCAGGCATAAATCCCTTGCCAAAAATAGCTTTTAGAGGCACCCTAAGGTCAAGGTCCCTGCTCCAAATCGGAAGCCCTCAGCTCCTGGGGATTTCTAAGACACGTGTTTGCCTTCAAGGAGAAACAAGGGTGCTTTCCTCACAGCCTGGGCTCATGAGGACTCCAGGCCACCCTGCTCTGATCTTCCCAGGCCCCAAACAATCCCTGGGGGAAGGTGTTTGAGATAAATTGTGGGGAATTTTGGCCGGAGCACCACCTGAGCTGCTCTGGCAGCTGGCTCATTCCGGAGCGCCTCACTGCTGCCCTGGCTTCAGAGGAAAATCATAACCCAACCCTCCCAAAATCATGGGAGCCTGAATGCCAGGGATTGCAGGATGCTCTTCCCACCACGGCTGAGCTGGCAGTGCCTCTCTCCTCTCCGAGCCTCACGTCTCCCCTGCTCGCAGCCCTCTGCCAGCCAGAACCCAAAATACCAGCACAGCTCTGGTGTCACCAGCGGGAACGTCAGAACCCAATTAACATTTGGGAATCCAGCCGAGGCTGACGATTCCCCCGGCACGGCGGGAAAGGCCTCGGCGTGGGGCTGAGGGTGGGAGACACCCCGGTGACTCCAGGGGTGCAGCTCGCCCGTGGGGTCACCCCAGAGCAGCTCTGCAAAGCCCACAGAGGTGCTGCCAGGGCTCCTGCTCAGCGCCGGGGTCAGAGCTGGGCAAATCCTCCAGGAGAGTTCGATGCCATCAGCAAATGGACGTGGAGAAGGTGCCAGGATCGATATCGGCCCTGCGGGCACCGGGCCAGAGCAGCTGAGCAGCTCCTGGTCCCGAGGGCAGGGCTGGGGCCAGAGCCCCTTCCCAGCTCCGTGCCCCTGTCCCCTGCCCATCCAGGCTGGCACAGCACCCCGGGGTCCCCCAGCAGCCTTTCCTGAACCCCCAAACTCACAGGATGCCTGCAGGAGGCTCTGGGTGCCATCACCCAGCTCATCCCCAGGCTGGCACAGCCCTGGGTGCCCTCACCCAGCTCATCCCCAGGCTGGCACAGCTCTGGGTGCCCTGACCCCACTGATCCCACAGCTGTCCCCAGGCTGGCACAGCACTCGGGGTCCCCCAGCAGCCTTTCCCTGAACTCCCAAACTCACAGGATCCATGCAGGAGCCTCTGGGTGCCATCACCCAGCTCATCCCCATGCTGGCACAGCCCTGGGTGCCCTCACCCAGCTCATCCCCAGGCTGGCACAGCCCTGGGTGCCCTCACCCAGCTCATCCCCATGCTGGCACAGCCCTGGGTGCCCTCACCCAGTTCATCCCCAGGCTGGCACAGCTCTGGGTGCCCTCACCCAGTTCATCCCCATGCTGGCACAGCTCTGGGTGCCCTCACCCAGCTCGTCCCCAGGCTGGCACAGCTCTGGACTCCCCCTCCAGCCTCCCTCCAGCTGCCCTGGCCCCCAGCCAGCCAGGAAGGTCACCGTGTCCACTGCTGAGGCCACCAAGCGCCATCCAGGAGACACAACCGCTTGCAATTTGATTTTTTTTTTTTTTTTAATATAGGAAAACTTGAAACCGCATCTTATGGACTGGACATTCCGGCTGAGCTCTGCAAAAGGGCTTTGAATAATTTATGGCCGAGCCACCAGCTCCTCCTTCCTCCTCATGGGTCACTCCTGTCCAAGAGATGGAGGCTCAGGAATCACACCCTGCCCTCTTCATCTGGGGGCTGCACTGCCAGTGCCTGCAAATGCCTTGGGTGTGAATTCCCTCCTGGTTAGAAGGGTGCAGAAAAGAAATCTTTAATTCAAAGTGAAATATTAATAGAACTGTAATTAGCTGTAATATCTACACAATTAAAAAGCAGGAGGCCCGGCAAGAGCTATTTTCATGTGTATTTAAAGAAAAATAAGTTTGCAGGGTAAGGGGTGGGGGTGGCTGGGGATGATTTTCCCAATTGTCTGAGGGAGAAATGTGGCACACATGTCCTGCAGTGCTGGTGGAACAGGAAGGAGTAAAAGGACAGGTCAGAAGAAAAGAAAAGAGCAGAAGAGGAATTTGAGGAGGAAATAAAGAAAGAAGAGCTGAAATGACACTTTTGTCCTGCTCCTCGGGGATTTTGTAGCAAAGGCAAGATTTTCACGGACAGGCAGGGGTGGGAAAAATCTCAGTGGAAGTTGCCAGGGAAGGAGTGGAGTGACCCTGGCTCAGCCCCCACAGATATTTTCCAGCAGGAATTGCATGAGCTGCTTGCAAAAAGCCATCAGCTCACCCTGAGCTGGGCAGTCACCGAGGGGAACAACAAAACCAACAGAATAATTCAGCTCAGCCCCTCCAAAACCCCTAAATAATAGGCCAAGGAGGGGGAAAAAAAGCAGCCTTGGATTTTTTTCCCCTAGAAAGTGACTCCCACACAGCCCCAGCACATGAAGGTGGGTAAGAAATCTGGATTTTTGGAGAGCAGGAACGGCACTGCCTGTGCTCGCACGGGCTTGACATTCACACATCGGCCGTGCCTCTCCCCACAGTGGGGATAATGGGATGCCGAATGTCAGACCACTTAAATATATATAAAACTCATTATACGCCTCATGACTAACAGATCTCGATGGGGAAAGTTGCATTTTAAAGAAATGCGGGGAGAGAAAAAAAAAAAAGAAAAAAAAGAAAAGAAAAAGCCCATCCGGGCTTGCAGGG